TCCCAACACACACATCCCAACACACACATCCCAACACACACATCCCAACACACACATCCCAACACACACATCCCAACACACACATCCCAACACACACATCCCGACACACACATCCCAACACACACATCCCGACACACACATCCCAACACACACATCCCAACACACACACAAATACAAACACATCACATCACACACAGATACACACAAACACACACACACACAAAACTACACACATAGATACACACACAACTACACGAAAAAACGACCATTTTCGTTTTAAACCATAAGATTTTTAATTCTTCGTAATGATTAATTAATTTAATATTTTATTAAGTTATTTTTATGGTAACTATTTGCTGATTTATTTGTAATCTTAGCAACTGAACTTCCGGTACCTCATTTTAAAACTAAATTTTGGCATGCATGCTAAATATACGCAGAACTAGTTGTATTAAATCTTAAATCCTACCAAAAATTGTAATGTAACCCAGGATAAATGCAACAGGCCATATGTAGAAATGTGGTTCAGACAGCCAGGCCCAGGCCGTATGCCCAAATGTGGTTCAGACAGCGAGCCCCAGGCCATATACACAAATGTGGTTCATACAGCGAGCCCCGGGTCATATGCACAAATGTGGTTCAGACAACGAGCCCCAGGCCATATACACAAATGTGGTTCATACAGCGAGTCCCAGGCCATATGCACAAATGTGGTTCAGACAACGAGCCCCAGGCCATATACACAAAAGTGGTTCACACAGCCAGGCCCAGGCCATATGCACAAATGTGGTCCCGACAACGGGGAATTAAAGTACATGTTGGCTCGATTGCATTTTCTTTAAAATTAAAAGTAAAAAATTACTTGATAGAATATTTGAAATGGTTTATAACTTTGGAATTTTAAATGTGTTAATCTTTTGAAATTTAAGCACTTGTTTGAGTTTTATTTTTTTTTTTAAATTTTATATTGTTACGATTTTATTTTCATTTTAATTGAAGTCAGTCTTCAAACATAAACCTCATAGAGTCAACAATCGTATGAAATATAGGGTGTTTCTTACACACGTAAAAGAGTACACATTCTTTAAAAAGTTAAGTCTACTTTTAATTATTGTAATCATACTCTCTTTGACAGTTGTATTTTTTTTTTTAACAAATAATTTTCTTTTATTTTTTTAATTGATCATAATTTTTTTTTTTTGTAATTATTATTGTATTTAAAATGCACCCTAATCTCGTTACTGTTAAATTTGTTTTGTAAGAAAATCTGTGATAAAAACAATGGAATGTGATTATTATTTTTAAATACGTCTGTATCCAACAGTATTACAGTACAATGTATATCGCATGTTCACATGTTTTTTTCGTTGTACATGTGTGTATCAATGAGAAATGTGATGTCAAAATAAAAACATGTGTCATAACCATTGTGTTAAATACCACGTCTCATTAAGGAAAAATGATGCTATAGGAAAGATAGGTAATTCATAACATTCCATTTAAATTTAAAATATTAGGTTCTCTCCCATTACATAAGGAAGGTTACAAAATGATTCCCGGAATGTAGATAATAAACTATTTCTAGCAATGATTTACCTGGTGGGATAAGATACTTGGCCGTTAATTATTTGTTATCTGTATTAATTGGGATTCTTTCAGTCTATCATCCGTCTTAGAGTCAGACATACAAGAGTTGCCATTTTTATATGTGTAATAATTGGCATCGTCCCTTAATCAGGTTTAATGTAGCTCAAAATAATTATATTTTATGTTATGTAGCTTATTTAAGGGTAGCTTATTCAAAGGTAGCTTATGTTATTGTAGAGAAAAGCTCTCACTTGGAACCCCCAGGGCAAGAGAAAAAGAGGTCGACCCAAAACGACGCGGAGAAGGGAACTGGAGGCAGACAACAAAACGGGTGGGCGCAACTGGGGCCAGTTGGAGAGACTTATTTTGTGGCCTATGCCCCAGACGGGACGACAGGCCATGATGATGATGATATGTTAGTGTAGCTTATATAAATTGTGATAAATTTTATTAGCGTAGCTTATTTTAGTGAATTTTTTTTATAGTAACTGATGTAATGTAACTTAAGTTATGATAGATTATGCAAAGTTGTTGCGTGTTATGGCAACGTAGGTTAGGGTAGATTGGGTTAGGGTTACTTAGGTTCGAGTAGCTTAGGTTACGTAGGGTATGTTAGGGTAGCTTATGACAGTGTAGCTATGATGGGGTAGCTATAGGGTATCATATTTTAGGGTAACTATGAAAGGGTAGCCTAATTTAAGGTAGTTGTGAAAGGGTAGCATATTTTGGGCCGCTATGAAAGGGTAGCTTATTTGAGGGTAGCTATGACAGGGTATATCCTGTAGTACATGTGTTTGTGTTTTTTTATTTATTTCCTACTCAATATAAATACCACAGGAAAATTCCAGTAAAAAGAAGTCTCTCCAAGCCATTAGTCAACTAATGACAAATTAACTGTCTGAAGTCTAGCTTAAATCCCTTTCATAAAAAATATTCATATAGTTTAACGTCTTGTACTGAATAAATGAAGATAGATAAGATTCTTTTATTGATCCAAATAAATGGAAAAATTTTTTTATTAAATTATACATTTTAGCACAAAAATAAAACAATTTGAAAACAAGACATTTATAATAAATTATTTCAAACAACCATTCAGTGAGTTCTCTTAGCCGAATCGGGGACTTATTAGTTCTCATTCAGATGTGTTACTTCAGAGGAAGCACGCCGGTAAATTCGTACAGATTGGGGAAAAAAAAGAATTTATTTTTATACCGGTCAGTCCTCGCCCTGATGGAAAGAATTCGTCCCGAACGGCCCGATCCTAAGTATCTGTGATGAAAAGGGTGGGATGTATCATCCAAAATGTGTTTAGTTTTGTAAAAACATCTTTCTTCAAATAGTTCTTCAAGTGAAGGATGTTTAGTTTGTGTTATGTTCCTAGCTTTCTTGATTAGTCTATGCGGTGTTTAATATCATACGTTGAATTCCCACACCAGCAGGTAATACTGATATTAAGCAGGCTTCCAATTGTTGCACTGTAGAATATGTTAATGATTTGCTTGTTTACACCGAAAGTGTAACACTTTTTTGAGGTAGAACAGTATTTGTTTAAGTTTCTTATACAACATTTTGCCGTGCTCATGCCATGTTAGCTTATTATTAATGGTGACACCCAAGTACTTGTACACCTCAACTTTCTCCACATTTTGATTTTTTATGTTGAGATCTGTAATCTGATGTTTCTCCCTCCTGAAATCAGCAACCGTTTCTTTTGTTTTTGAGACATTCAACTGGAAAAAAGTTTCATCCTACCAATTGATAAAGCTTGTTACTAAGTTACGGTACAGGCCATCTCCTTCAGATATTAAGCCAACAATGGTGGTATCATCAACAAAGTTTAAGATTGAACGGTGTTGCTTGAGCTTTGAATATCATTTGTATTTATTGTATACAGTACAGGAGAGAGAACGTAACTTTGTGGTACCCCTATGCTTATTACTATGGTTAGAGATAATTGGTTATTTACTTTGACATATTGTGGTCAATTTGTTAAAAAGTTCAGTATCCAAGCCTGAATATTTAAATTGACACCTAGCGAGGAAAGTTTCTTTATCATAAGGTGTGGTTGGATGGTGTTAAATGCTGATGAGAAGTCTAAGAAAAGCACTCTGGCATATGTTTTAGGACAGTCTAGGTGATGGTAAAGTCTCTCCAACAATAGTAAGATTGCGTCCTCCGTACTTCTGGCAGGTGTGTAAGCAAATTGGTGGGGGTTAGGTTTTGTTGTACTTCATTCAAAATTTCTTTCAGAATTATTTTCTCAAAACATTTCATGACAATAGAGGTAAGTGCAACAGGTCGTAAGTAGTTGTTGCACGTTACCTTATTTTTCTTTGGAATTGGTATGATTTCTGAAGTTTTCCAAATTGCTGGTATTGTGTGAGTTACATAAGATTTATTAAATATGTAACAAAAAATTTAGGAGAGCTGCTCTGAACATAGTTTAATGAGCCGACAACTTAATTTGTCTGGTCCCGATGCTTTGGCTGCGTCCACGTGGTTAAATCATGACATCACTCTCTGTTCAGTAAACAAAAAAGTACCATCCTGTGTACTACTGCCATCTTGAAATGAATTTATCATCTCATTATGCACTCTTACAAAGCCCAGGCTGTCAAAACGACAATAAAAGTCACTTAAGTCGTTAACAAAATTCCTCAAGTCCTCAATACACTAGCATTCTCGCTTAGGAGTATATCCTGTTATTTGCTTTAGTCATGCCCAACAAGCCTTTGAATTGTTAGTAGTTAAAAATTTTTCGAATTTTTGCTTGTATTGTTTTTTACCTTGATATGTATTTTT